TACTAACTAGGTTGATTAGAAATCATAAAAACTTCATATAGTATAGTTACTATTAAGCGTATAAAAGAAGTAAGAATTCAGAAGTTACTTGAACATATCTTATCATTATTACCCAGAAAGTAACAGAACACAATTCAAATGATCACGATATTTTTGTAAGACAGTTCATTAAATGTAAGAGAATTTACCCTTCCATACAGAAAGAATATTTGCTTTCGGTTGCCTTGTTCATGTTATCTAAATTTGACCTCTTTAAATAATGTCAATGTTTAAATACATGTGTATTTCATCACATGTTTTCTTCTCAGTTTCTTATAACTTTATCATTATTAAAATATAACATAGTATACTATAGTATAACAAAATATTATAGATAGTGGTGATTGTAAAAATGGGAATGACAACAACAGCCAACATCATATATATATCGCTATGAAAAAAAAATTGAGATTAAAATGTGTCACGGCTCTAAACAGTGACATTAAATCGATAGTCAGGATTTTATCGATGTTCGTCAATCTTTTAAAATCAATAAAAGACAAAAATGCGTGACCAGTATACGTCTCGCTGAACTAGATGCTATCAAAAAAACTCGAGCTGATTAACGTATTCAGAAAGAGATAGTTATCATTTTTTTCACTGCCAATTTATGTTCACGAATTCGATTTAAATCTTGTCCAGTTTATTGTATCTTGAATCTCCTAATTAATGTCATTTGCCAAGTCACTAACTAGGATGTTTATTCAAATTTCGGTCTATTCCGCTCTTACTTTTTTCTCTATAGACCAGTGTTTCTTAATCGGTCAATTATATACTCAGCCGGCATCAGAGACATTGAGCTGGTCTGATATTCGCAAGCTACTCCCTATGCTCTGACCTATGTACAAAAGTTGTGACCGGCATCTATCATATATACGTGGTTTATTTACAAACATACTGGACCACATCAAACCAAAAAAATAAGAATCATCCTTACACGACCGAAAAGTTGTGAATGTAGCAGCCTGTAGCAATAGACTTGCAACAAATTAGGAATAATGGGTTGTGTAACATTAGCTAATGTATTAACAGAATGTTTATAGGAAAAGGAATACGTACGGTAACCCAGTTGCTCAGTAATTTTACAAAAGTATTATCAATAATAACAATAATTCGGTAAACCAGCTTCAAGTTTTACAATATTTATTCCTTTATAACTCAATAATTATTACAACTATATTGTTATAATTACTATTATCATTGCCATGATTTGTACTTTGTTATGCAACTTTCACCTAACTAAATGTCACCCCATCTACTTTAAAAGTCACTTTTCATTTAATCAATGCTCAAAATTATGGAAAAAACTCTTGGAGTCTCCCATGTTTATTCTTATGGTATTCATCTTGACAATTTTTGCATTCCAGGATATGATTACCTCACTCATTGGTATTTTCGATATTCATCTTTAAATGACCGTACACATGTTTATTCATAGATCATTGTCACATAACCGTGACTTTACAATTCTTCAGTAACTAATATCTATTATTTAATATTATGTCATATTTCAATGTAAATATAATTGTAAGTGGTTGAGTAAAAACCACAGAATAAAATTAAGTTATGATATTCTACCTTAACTATTATTCTAGCATATGTAAATTTTATCATTTAAACAATAGATGAGCATAGTAACAAAATTATTTTTACTTGTCAACATTTTGATATGCTGTGAGTGTATATTTTGTAAATTTTGAGTATAACTAATATACTGCGTCATTGATACCTTAATTATTATTATGATATTATGTGTGAAACATTTATAAAGATCCATTCTGAAAATTTTAACTGATTGTTCATCGTGGTTACTTTTATCAAAAATCTTTTCATAATGTTACATTTTAGATAAATGACAAATCGCAAATAAATTGTAATGTTACAGTTCACCACCCTGAAATAGTTTAAAGAATCTCTCTGAAATTTCAATATCACGATAGAATAGTAAATCTTTTGTACCCATTCTGTAAAGGATCGTTTGTGTATAGTTGAAAAACATTTAGATCATTGCACAATTGATAAACTTACCGACATTTAGTGCTAATAAACCTATGCTCACACTTAACTAGTAACTTGGTAATAAACTACTTAACAGTCAATAAACGACGTAGAACATAGACATTTCATCTGTTATATTCCAAATGTTATGTACAGAAAAGTTTCCTTCGGAAATCAATATAACTTTAATAGAACAAACAATAAAAGTGTTTTCAGGTTTATTATACAATCTCAACGGAAAATAATTTAATATTTTATTTTAACAATTAAATTTCAAAAAGAAATATGGATATTTTCCATTAGATACATTCATATTGTAACTAGGTCGCATTTCAGTTAAATTTTTCATTTGAATTAAGAAAAAAAATATTTTTGTTGAATTGTTTTCGCGCCTACTTGATTTCAAATAATCTTGATGTAGTATTTCAAGTTCTTTACAAGTATCCAAGCGTGAATAAACTTCTTTCTCCTCCACCCCACCTTTCCCCCTCCAGTTTCCGAGATACAATTAAGATGAATAATATTTTATCCTCTTCAAATTAATCCTATACATAAAAATCAATTTAGTCAGTAGTATTAGTGATAATATGAAACGTATCAAATTTCTCATTTGAGTTGATAGATAGTTATCTTATATAATAAGTGTAATATAACTAAACATATTCAAAATCACGAACAATATTCATGGTTCATTTTTCAAAGAATTTTTAATGAAAACTGATTCCTTTACGGTGAATTAATATTTTTAGTTTGTTTTTTTCAGTATAAAAGTTGATCCCTTCGATAAGTGACACTATTAGGATAATTTTAAATCGCTTAAGATTAAAATTATTGAAATATTCAAAATGAGTTTAACTTTATATCAAATTGAATATTCTCCCACATTATAAGGGAATTCCATGTACTTGGCATCATATTTCTTCTAAATGAAAACCTTCTGACTCCCAGAGCAGAGGTTAAATGGTTTGAATAATTTTTTCCGGTTAGCGTTTTTTGGCGAGTTAGTTTTCTACTGGATTGGGTCGCTAATCCCATGCCCAACCCTTCTCCTTTATCCGGGCTTGAGACTGTCAGTAGCCTCAGGGAGCCTCCAGGCGGAGTTAAATTGAATATAGTAAATGACACTATCATTGTAAATTCAGTTTGCGTGGTTTGTTTGAATCTTTCTATTGATGTTTAGAACTGTAATTCATCCGTTTCTTATTGGCAATCTGTACAACCTGTACGAATTGCCTCGATGTTACCTTAATTCACAAGCACTATAAGCAAAGATGGATGATGGAAAATTTAAACAAATAATATAAAATAAATTTAAACTTCACACTATTGCACAAGTTAGTGGTGATAGCGTTTCTAAAGCGAACGGTATTAGGTTCGAGTCTCGGAATAAACATCACCATTGAGATGCAGGTACATACAGCTGACGAGTCCAAAATAGAACGAAACGTGCTTTCTGGATTCCACTGCCTGCTAATATTTATCTTTGCTTATAATACTATTGTTGTAGTTAACAGTCAATGAATTTTATATTATGGTATCGTGTATTTCTTCTGTTCTATTATAAATTAGCTGCAATGTTATAAGTGTTCATTTTATATTGTTATCACTAATGTTAACAATTCACCAATCATCTTACCTATTATTACTTGATTAGTTTCGGGAGTATGAATCATTTAATTGTAACACAGTGGTTAAGCGGTATCATTCTTAAGATGATTTTGGAATAACTTAAGTTGGATTCAGCAGACAATAGTAACTGGTAAATAATGGTTATTTTTTAAGTTATTATAAACTAGGTATATGGTCATTAACAATTTCTAATGGCTTTTTGACTGATAACTATTTACAATGTAAATTTTACTCAAATAATGTGTTCCCTATAATAGTGAGATCACTACTCAACATCGAATAAACTGGAAATTAAATAATTTTTGATCAATATATTTGTAATATATCACGACTTAATTAATAAAAGTTGCTTCTTTACAACTGATTGATCACTGGGTGATGATCATGTGTATCAGATTCTTCTTAATGTAGATCGTATCCTATAGACCAGATTGCAATGTGGTCGCTAGTCTAAGTGACTCGACATCGCACGCACTATGTTGAGATAAGATTGTGGTTGGATGTAGTTGACAAAAAACCCTGAACACCTTCAGGGGGCAACAGTTCCCTCAAGATTACAGGTGCCCCTTGTTGACGAATGCCAAGTAGCATAAAACCTAGGTTCATGGTTTCCTGTTGACTACCTCCAACCATCATCTTATAAGTTGCTTCTTCTAAGTTAGACATAAACACCGCTGGCTGCCGATTCAGTGGTCTGGTGGTTAAGTGTGCGCTCGTGAGATCGATATGTTCAGGGTTTTCCATGATGGTATGACTTCAATCGACTCATGAATTTAACTATTAAATCACTGTATTATCCACAAAAACCCTTCTTTGGTTAAAATATAAAAATGATTGTTTATTCGTTAATAAACCAGTTCAATAATTAATCATGAACTATTAGAAATTTATATTTCCTTATTATACTTCCTTTAGTTTCAAATAATTACAACTTATTTATGCAAAGTTTACTGTGTTCAAGGTTATCATAGATTGTCTCATCCATCAATTATAATTAAACCGTTTACATAATTGATTGTTTTTCGTAAAAAAAACGAAAGTATCATTTCATAGATAATCTGTCATTATTTAATATTAAAAAGAAAACAAATAAAAAACAAAACAAGAATGAATAATTTTGTATTATATAATAATTAAAAAAGTGGTATATTTTATTTCTTTATTACTAATATGTATTCATGTTACTGGCTATACAATTAACTCAATTCTGATTGGTCAATTAAAAATGACCATGGGGGGAAATTATTTTTATTTGCCATTAACAGATCATGGATAAAATACACACGTATACTGAGGATGTTCTGTTTTCTTTTTTCTTTTCTTTTCTTTTTTTAAAAAAAAAACAAACAACAACACAGTTACGATGTAAACACATTCATAAATAGTTACTATGTTAAAATCATCATTATTATTATTATTATCATCATCGCTATCATTGGTACTATGGTTTATTTAAAGATGTATATATATAATTAGTAACTAAATTTATTAAAATAATACATATGGATCAAAAGTCAAATATAAATTTATTTCATCCAGCATTAATTAATTTAACTACACATTTATTTTATAATATTATTGAGCATAGAATTAATGCACAAAATTTTAAATGTTTAGGATTACAATCTATTGATTATGAACAAAAAGAAAATCAAATTGAAGTTGTATTACAATTTGATATTATTTCGTCGTCGTCATCATCATCATCATCTTCTACATCAAGAAATAACTCTTTAGTGAATAATAATACATATACAGAATGTGATTATACAAATCTATTTGTTGATAAATTAGCAGAACATATAACTTCAAATGAAAAGAAATGTAAGTTTAGTTAGTTATTAATTTCTGTATAATTTAATACATAGTTTTGGGTTTAATTATCATGTGATCATTAGTGATTAGCTTTAAGAGATAATTTTTGGAGTACTAGTGAGAAGCAGTGATCAATGGAGTTAATCTAGGTTGGGATGTGAGGTAGTTTCCCACTAAAGATAATAGAAGAAAATAGTCGCGTAATATTGTGGATTGGTTGAAGTTAGACATTAATACTGTTGGATCTAAAGGTTCTGAGTTCGAGTATAGCGTGCAGAATAGTGGATGGGCACTGTTGTAAAGTATCATACTAGAACGAAACGACCTTTCAGTACTTCTAGGTTTTCAATGGTGGTCTAATATTGATCGATTCATGATCTTAATTAAAAGTAAATACCTATTTGTTGATAAATTATAATTAAAGAAGTACACTTAGATGACTAAATGCTCAAATGAAATAAAAATTAATGGGTACTTTATGTCTATAAGATTGGTATATATTTATCAATCATTCATTGAATGATGAAATATATCAGTTTAATAGGGAAAAATAACGATTATACTGTAAGTAAAAATTGTAAATTTTAAGTTTTCAGATATTTCGGATCTTCTCAACAACTTAAAAAATTAAGACAACTCTTAGGCATATCAAACTCATCGTAAAAGTTGCAGATCTTCAGTTTGATTCCTGATAAGATTTCCCAATGTAAAGTGTTATAGAATCACGAATCTAGAAATAATTTCCTTACTGATTGTTCCATAGTGTTCAGCGTGTATCATTATTATATTTTTTCGATTGTGACTAGTAGTAATGATACCGAGGAAGTCTATTTTCTCTTATTCAAAACTCATCAGCTGAATGTAAAAGCATCCCAGTCTATCATTTCTTTAAATCAACAACATTGAATTACAAAGCATTACTAATGAAATGGGTTATTCTTAAATATGATAGTTTCATCAAAACAAATATTGTTATATTGATATAATTATCTATTCATTTATATACTTTTCCAATCACTCAGTTAAACAAAACAAATATTTTAATAGTTTTGATAAGTCTTACTCACTTACTTACGCCTGTTACTTCCAATGGAGCATAGGCCACCGACCAGTATTCTCCAACCCACTCTGTCCTGGGCCTTCTTTTCTAGTTCCATCCAATACTTGTTCATTTTTCTTATGTCTATCTTCATTTCCCGGTGTAATGTGTTCTTTGGTCTTCCTCTCCTCCTTTGGTCTTGAGGATTCCATGTGAGGGCTTGCCTGGTGACGCAGTAGCGTGCTTTCCTCAATGTGTGTCTTATCCACTTCCAGCACGTCTTCCTGATTTCTTTCTCCGTTGGGATCTGGTTTGTTCTCTCCTACAATGGGTTGTTGCCGATAGTATCTGGCCAACGGATCGGAAGTATTTTGCCTAGACAGCTGTTAATAAACACTTGTATCTCCTGGATGATGGCTTTCGTATTTCTTCAGGTTTTCGCCCCATACAGTAAAACTGTCTTGATATTTGTATAGAAAATTCTGACCTTGGTGTTGGTTGACAGTTGTTTTGAGTTCCAGATATTCTTCAGTTGTAAATATGCTGCTCTTGCTTTGCCGATCCGTGCCTTCACATCTGCATCAGATCCACCGTGTTCATCGATGATGCTGCCCAGATATGTAAAGGTTTTTACATCTTCCAAAGCCTTTCCGTCAAGTGTGATTCGGTTAGTGCATACAGTGTTGTGTAAGAGAATCTTGCCTTTCCCTTTTTGTATGTCGAGACCTACTGCTGCTGAGGCTGATGCTGCTACATTGGTCGTCTTCTCCTGCGTTTGTTGTTTTGATAAGTAGTCGAACATAAATTCAATGCATATTGATAAACATTTTAATTTTAATATTTATTTTAACTGATTAGAATGTTTACTATTTACTAATTTTGATTATCTGATTAAATAAATAAGATAAATACTTCATAAGGAAATAAACAACTATTTGAAAATTTTGGTATAGCGAGATTTATGAACGATAGGGAGGTTGGCTGACATTAATCGATTAAATCACAAATTGATCTTAATTGAGTTACCGTTAAAAACCTAAGAGCACTAAACAGTTCTTTCGCTCTAATATGAAACTACTCATAAACCTGTATCCACAACCTGAACCCAGTGCTCTTGGTTTTAAAATAGCGATCTAGTTAAGATTAGTTCATAATTTAACTTATTTAGTTTTTGTTTCTTTTAAGTATCTTTATTTTGGTGATACAAGATTTCATTGATGAATGACTTAAAATTCCCTGCATAAATTCGTTCTAAAATTTAAATCATATTTTTCTTTATGCCATTATTAGGAGAGGTTTGAGTTATTTGACTACCTATATTAAGGATCTAATTTAGGCAAACATATCATTGAGTGATTCTGGTTGATCACTTTTTCAATGAGCTATCGTTTTTTAAATGTTGCGACCACCTTTTCTCTTAGACAAGTGATTAATTGTTTCCTTAAACAACTTTTTTGCTTGGTTCATTATAGTTTAAACTGAGCAAGTTCAGTGAAACATTTTGTAAACTGTACAGTTTCGATCTACTTTTGATGTTTTATGTTGATGTAATACATTTGGGGTTAGCTTAATTTTTCGATCTTCCCGTAAAATCCAAATGAAGGTAAAGGAAAGGACATAGCCTTAATATAACTATTTAATTACCTAGTTTTCTCATAAGAACAATGTAAAATCAAATACTGATTCAGTTTTCAATGAGATTTATCTGGTAATAATGCATCTTATGAATCAGTTAATAAATTTCTATAGGAATTCACAATCTAAAAACTTTTAAAAACACCTATTATCTACATCAAAATAACGTAAATGTAATACATAAATTTTCCGTTATCCACTGCTGAGGAGTCCCATAAGAGGACGAAACAGCCATCCAGTGCCTTCAGGTTTTTCGTGATGGTCTACATTGAATTAACTCATGATCTCAACTATTAAAAATTATTATACCCAACCCTGTTGAAGTTTTTCCAATCAGTTGACATTTTAATAACATAACAATTCATATCTAGTCAAAAAACTTTTGATATATTTTTCCCAGTTATATTTTGAATGTATCTTATCGGATAGTTGATTGTATTCTTACTAAAAAGGAAATGAATAATCAAACAGATATTAAACATGATGGAGACGATTTGTAGTTCAGATGGATGATTTTGATGAAGTTTCGTTAGAACATTTCAGTTGTGCTTAAAGTTTGTGCTGATGGTGTCGTTCAGAAGCACGATGAAAGCTCCACAACCAAACTATTCAGCTCAGAGAACAAAAACTCCATCAAAATCATTCACCTGAATTGCAAATCTTCTCCATTGTTCATTGTTCCTTAGTTATTGGCTAGCTTTCTAAGTAACACAAGTTTATTTTTAAAACAAATGAACCATTTCATATATTCATTTCAACCAAACTGTCACTTACTGTATACAATTCTAATCATATAAATAACTGATAAATTTTCAAAGTAAATGAAAATGTCCAACTTCAACAATAACTCAAACAAACTTCATTCATTCATCCATTCATTCATTTAGATTCAACTTGAATTCTAACCACACTTAGAATAATGAATGATAAATGAGATTCTGTATGAACATAATTTTCAATATAGAAAAAAAACTTTTGATAAGAATAAATTATTGACACCCTTAGTTTTTCAATGGTTATTAAATTCACTCACTTTACATTAATATATTAGCAACTATCCTACAACCAATTTTAGTTAAGTCATTTTATTGACTTATTTAATAGACAATGTTATTTGAATAGTAACAATTCACATATTTTTTTGTACTGTTATGATCATTAGAGCACATGACAGACTCTAGCTAGAATGTGGATTGTTTAAATATCATTCAATGATTCATTCTCTTCCCCCATGTATATATGTACGCGAATCCTAATAACAGATTTTGTTTTGCCTTACTGTTTGCCCATATATACAAATTGACTATAAATTTACTTACTTATTCTCCTCTCTGAGCTAAATATGTTCGATGTGCTTATGACTTTGTGGTCTGCTCTATCCGCTAAAAGAAACTGTAGTTACCGCTTCACTTTGGCTTCTGTTTTTAAACACCATTGAGATTTATATTATAAAGGTTATTGAGGTGAACGTTTAGTGAAGTAAAGCCACTAAAAATATTCATTAATATGATTATAATAATCTTTTTTTTTAAAAAAAGTGAAATAAACATGATTATCCACTTTGGGTGGTTTAATTATAAATTTCAATGTTGATAATTGAAGAGTTCACGTTCTTTTTTGTTTTTTTAAAATTAATAGCTATCATAAACAGTTAGTTAGTACCATGGCAACGAAAATAATATACATTTGAAAATAATCATGATAAATAAGAATAAAATTGAATAAATATTTATTTCGGTAACTTCCCATTGTATTTTAAAATTAGGATATACATTTAAGCAATACACGTAATTATGAATTAATGGTAATATGAATAGAATTGTTGAAGAAATTTATGATACTGGTCGCAACAATGCGTTCGTTAAAAATAACTAAATAGTGATGCCGAGGTTAAAAGGTGGATTACCTAGAATGACTACCTCATGCTTCTATGGAGCAAATTATATTGGTCGAAGTTCTATGGAATTACATTTTCATGCTCGCGAACACCCCTCCACAGCATAGCTAAGCAAAGGTCTGATGATGAAAGTGAACAGCTCGATAATGGCCCATTTAGTTCAGACTGGTCATAGTTCTAGTATAAACCAATCCTTTTCAATTATTTATCGGGTCAAGAATTTTTTACCAAAGCTTGTCAGATTTAAAGTCCTCTAAACGGCTAAAGCAGTAGCCATTCGGATGAAGAAACCGGAGTTATGCACACAAAAGAAATATCTTCAACCGCTTTTCCTCCCCTGGCCAACCTCAAGGCCAATTAATCAATAGTAATCTTAGCTATTGAACTATCATGACCTAACTATTGAACTATCAGAGATCTAATCCAAGTCTAACAAAC